TGAAATGACTATTTAAACGTCTATTCATTTATGAAGCTTTCCCTGACCTCCAAGAGAAAGACCATAATTCCCCACTTTGTGCTCTCACAGCCCTTTGACATACCATGTGTATAATATTTTTTGCCCTTCCTTATAATTAAATGTTTACATGTTAAAGTCTCCAATGGGACAGACTATAAGTTTCTTGAAGGCAAAATTTTACCTGAATCATCTTTGCAATCCCAGGCTTAATGAAGAGCATAAATTAGTTGCTTAATGAATATCACATGAATAAATGCTGAATGAATAAATGAATAAATAAATATGTTAATGGATTATTATTTTCTTTCTTTCTTTTTTTTTGTGACCAGTAAGGGGATCATAACCCTTGGCTTGGTGTCGTCCGCACCGTGCTCAGCCAGTGAGCGCACTGGCCATCCCTATAGAGGATCTGAACCTGTGGCCTCGGAGCTACCAGCGCCGCACTCTCCCAAGTGAGCCACGGGGTCGGCCCAATGGGTTATTATTTTCAAAAGTAAATTTTACCCTCAGATATAGTTATTCTATAGAATCTAGGGCACTTACAATGTTTTAATGAGGAAAATTAGATATGGCCACAGAAACATAAATAAAATACAAATACTGAACTTATAATATAGTCCATTGTACTAAAACTTGGATAGCACAAGGAAGTCATGCTTTTAATGATTAATAAGATAGTAATGGCTCAAAAAATGTTATAATTTTTCTTCACACAACCATTTGGTAGTTAGTCTAGAAGACAAGGATATAAAACATTCCATTTGATTTGACTTGTGTTTATATGGTAATTGTATCCTCTGTCAAAAATTAGGATACATGGGCTAGCAACAGGCTAGAAAATTTGAAAATGTAACTGGCTGGCCATCTTCCATCCAAACAATCCAACAAACAAACCTTGCTCCTTTAAGCATATCCCTCAGAGATTTGCAAGCCAGGCTATTACAGCTTGATAACATAAACCCATTAAGATCATTTAACTTTGATATAACCCTATGCTAGCTTAGTGATCCTGATATTAATTTGGTTTCCCATGTAAATCTTGCACACAATAATTCCTTGTTCCTTATAAAATAAATGTTAACTAACCAAAAATAATATTTTTATTTTTCATTTTAAAATTAAAAATAATAATTTTGGTTTATTTTTGAAAGAAATATGTATTTATTTATTTTTTATTTTTTATTTTTGTCTTTTGTCTTTTTCCGTGTCCGGCAACGGATCGCAACCCTCAGTGTTGCCCCCGTACCGGACTGGGGACCGGCAACGGGATTGCAACCCTCGGTGTTGCGCCCGCGCCTCGCTCAGCCAGTGAGCGGGAACCGGTCTGTATGTGGGATCCAAACCCTCGGGCGGGAGCACCGCCAAGCTTCCCAAGCGGCGCACTTATCCAGTGCACCACTGGGCCGGCCCCCTGAAAGAAATATGTATTTAAAGTTTAAATATTTAAGCTTTTCTTCCTTCTCTACACACTCCTCCCAACCTCAACACACCTGCTGCTTTACACTTTTCTTACATTCTAAGGCAGTGGATCTCTGCTTGGACTTCACATTGGAATCACTTAGGAAGCTTAAAAATTATGGTGTTTGGGTCCCACCATCAGAGATCTGACACAACTGGTCTGCGTGTGGTTTTCAAAAATCTGCATAGTAATGTTAATATGCAGCCTGGGTAAAGAATCACTGCTCTAAGGGTAATTCTTGTTTTTCTATGTCATTCCCAAGAACAATTTTACACAAATCAGGATAATGAGTAAAGAAAAGGGAGAAAATTATTTGTGGAAGTAAGAAAATGAGGAGATCCAGAGAATGACAGGTTGGGGGAGACAAGAGACTCTGTATGACATGTATTTGGGAGAGTTTGAAGGGGCTAGAGGAAGGGAAGAAAAAAAGAACTTAGGGCATTTTATACAGAGAAAGAGAGAGAGACAGAGAAATGGAGGGAGAGGGAGAACAAAACAACTTTCTGTGCATTAAGAATGCAATCAGATCTGGTGTTTTTTCTAGAGACCATGATAAACATTTGACTTATTTTCAATTATTTTTGGACACGAGAATGCTGTTTCTTTAAATACTGACTCATGCTGAGACTGGGCCAAGAAGTAGCTGAGAGGCAGATGGTTTATATGATCTGTGAGGTCTCCTGAAAGTTCGGCTGCTGTGAATCAGTTCCCCCAGGGGCCTGATCAACTCTGGGTTAAACAAAATGATGGACTCCCATGAACTGAGAGCTTCCGTGACCCCAGAAACATGACAGCAGATGGGATTGATTTGCTTCTTCAGTTTTCCCCTACTCTTTATAAGAACTTATTTGTCTCTTATATACCTATCCCTTGCACTTATTATCACTGCATTTAGAGAAAGTTATTTTTTCTCATTGGGTATCAGGTTTCTCATGCACAAAGGGAGGCAGTGGATTTCTATGGAAATGGTGTTCTTCAGCCCTTAGGAAACTCAAGAGTTTAGGATTCTACTCTTTCCCAGAGCAACACTGCCTTCTTCTGTTGACAGTATGGAATGTGGCATCTATGTAAGATTTAAGGGATGTCTTTCAAAGCAGCAACAAGAGTTTAAGTAACAACAGCAAAAGATAAACAAAAACACTGACTTCTAGGAAGATGGTGGCAGCATAGTATTGAATCTCTCAAAATCCCCACATAAAAACAGAGCAACTAGATAGCAAACCACGGGCACTGTTTACAACTAGGTGACAAGGTATCTCCCCAAACCCCCAAATACATGTTGGTGGAGACAAATGCACATTGCCACAAGGCCTGTGTGGTGTCAGCATGTGTGTGGAAGGAGGTGGAAGAACAACGAGGGCTGTGATGGGCCTGAAGACAGAACATCCCTAAACTACCCCACAGGTGTTCACTGGAAAAGGTAAAGGGCTGATGTAAGAACAGCAGCTGAAATCGAGAGAGAATGTGCCTAATCCCACAGAGGTGGCCTATAGTAAGGTCTGAGGGTGTCAGAGTCTTCTAGCCCCTGGGAACTCGTAACACTGACCAGCCAGGACTCCCTTCCAGAAAGGGCTCCACATGGAGAGGAATCCACTGGTAGTGGAAGCAAAATCAAGCAGGACTAGGACAATAGAGATGAAAGACAGAGAAGCGCCAATTAAAATCAAAGCCAGGATGTCTCAGAGAGCAAGCTCTGTGGAGTCAGAAAAGCTAACATGAATTGATCTTTTGCATACATGTGGCTTTGTGACAACAGGCCATTTGGAAGAGTCACTGACTTATGCAAATATTCCAAATGTTGACACATTTAAATCTACGGTATCAAAGATATGTTTGTTAATATCAACATTAATCTCACCAGGAAAGTATTTCCTAAGTATTAGGAAAGCTGCCAAGCTCAAGGTGTTAGATACAGGGTTTTTTTTTTTTTTGCATGAAAGTTTAAATTTTATCAATGGCAACAAATTCTACTAGGTGTTTTTCTTGAAGTGAAAGGTTAACTTAGTTCATTTTTGAGAATATGTCTGCCAAATGCACAGGTCTGAATAACCACAGTTAGTCAGTTGTTCTTTCGAGTAAAAATGGAGTTCTGTGAAAAAGCAGCTAGCACTGCTTGCAGCTCAAATGATCACATCAGTGCTTTCCTTGAGCCATTCATTACATTACTTTGAAAACAGTATGTGGAAGAAGTGCTTTAGACATAGGGCTCAGAATATTAAAAAGATGTGTTCTCCAGGACAGGGATTTTTTTTTTTGTCTTTTTTCGTGACCGGTAAGGGGATCGCAACCCTTGGTGTGGTGTCACCCACACCGCGCTCAGCCAGTGAGCGCACCGGCCATTCCTATATAGGATCCGAACCCGCGGCGGGAGCGTCGCTGCGCTCCCAGCGCCGCACTCTCCCGAGTGCGCCACGGGCTCGGCCCCGGGACAGGGATTTAATATATTTAATATTTTTACTATTGACCATAGGCATTCTTCAGTGAAACTGGCATTTTCTCCCCTGTCGTAAATGTGTGGTGGTAAAGAATATGGTGCTAATGGAGTTTGGCACCAACGGCCTTGATTCATACTAAGGTGCCAGCTGTTTTACCCATCATTGCTTTTGCACCATCAGTACAAATGTCAACACAGTGAAAGGGCAAAAAACATGCTTGTAGTATTATGAAAGTATCCAAGGATCTCTTGAATGTATCTCAGAGACCCCCAGCTATCTGTGGACCACATTTTGGGGACCACTTGGCTAGAAAAACGTCAATATGAGGACTGGAGGTAAATTTTCAGGAAGGGAACAGTAGCAGGGAGTAAAATTAATGCAATTGAGGGGAATATTTTGTTCTAGACTAAATAAGCTCAGAGTACAACTTAAGATAATTATTTTTTCTCCTTCCCTCTTCCCTATTAAATTCTTAAATGTTCAATTAGGCTAGTTTGCCAGAACAATGGTGCTACTAATGGCACAAGTAAGAAAGGAACCCAAGCACTGAGACCTGATTGAAATAAACAGAAGTAGCAGTTCACTGTAGAAAATAATTTAAGACACTTTGTAATTTGGAAAACATTAATTCCTTCATGTTTTAAACCACAAGTAAATAAGCAGAAATGACTTATAAAGGATCAAATTTCTTTACCTCTTGAAATCAGTGAAATAAAACCAAAATTAATAAATATATATTAACTGAAATTAACAACTTTTTGAATTTTCTGAAAATTGCATTGAACTGACAAAATGAACTAGATTTATTCAGTTCTTGCATAATATTTTACAGATGATTTATGAAACTTCCATTTAGTCTTGCAAGGCTACTGGGAAATAATTTAGTACATTTTATGCTTAGTAAACTAAAAAAAATTCCTGACTCCCAAAGAGAAAATTTTACATTTAAAGAACTTGAGTCAATAAATGGAGTTGCCATGGATTTACTTATTTCCTTAGTTTGTTCAGAGGCTGAATAGGTTCTGGGCAAACATGGAACAGTTGATTCTTCTTTCAATGAGGGTGTAAGATAATCATTTACTTACCCTCCATGATGGTCAAAGGATCTTCCACTTTAGGGCGCAGGATATTAGGACCAAAGACAGTTGCTAAGTTCTGCACACTCATTTTGTTAACTCCTGAATAGGATTGTACTTCATCCAAGAACCTATTGGGTATAAGAATATAATCAAAACACAATGGGATCAAATTTCTCAGTTCAAGAAATGGATCACTGGGAAATTTATGAACTGGAGTATGTTCAAAGATGAGTATGGAGACAAAACTGTTAGGAAATTCAAACATTTCTCACTCAAATGTGGAAAAAATATATTGCAAATTATCAAATATTCACTCTGGCCTGGCCTGGCTTGGTTTTCTCTGTCAATCAAAGGAGCAAGTATGTTTGAACAATGCTAATATGGATTTGAGAGTCAAGAACATGTATTCTCTTCCAATCCCTCAATAAAGCATTAAATTTATATAAATATCAAATTAGAGAACTATATATAAGATCATCTGGTACAATCCCTTACTGTAGAGAAGAGAAATCAACACTCTTTGGGGAGTAATTTATGAGCTTCAAATTTATAGTCTATTAAAAAATAAAATCAAACATGGTTGAAATTAAAACGTCAGTTCTACTGATATGAAAAATTGCAAGTACAAATTGTTTCAATTTATTTGGTACTAAAGAATAAGAGGCATGAAATGGCCCTCTCCCAGATAATTTTAGTAGGAAAAATTATTTTGATATCTTTCAGCTTTTTTTCATTTTCCATCCCCTCTTCATTTCTATAACAACTTCTATTACGGCTTGCTAACTGTACTGAAGAGATCAAGAGGAAATGATGAAAATTAAAAATAATGTACTTATATAGCACTACTATGTGTCAGTCATGGTGCTAATTTATTAATTTATGGAAGCATCTCTATGAGATATGCACTATTATTATCTCCATTTTACAGATGAGAGTCATAAGGCACCAAAGAGATTAGGAATCTTCAAGGACACAGAGTTAATAAGAGGCAGAGCAGAAATTTGAACCCAGGTAGTCTTACTCAATAGTCTGTGCTCTTAACTACCACACCATGACTTTAAAAAAAGGTGCCTATTTCCACGTGTTCACTATGGTTGTAGAGCCTAAATTACAGTAAAACTGAAGACAAAAAGTCAAACTATCATTTCTTATTTGAAATACCTGAAATTAAAACTCTGCTTGAATGTTTCTAGAGAAGTTAAATTTTTCTATTGTGCAGAAAAAGACTTACAATATAGGTTCTCAAACAAGCCTTTTTTTCCTAGCAGAATTCAATTACAATTGGCTTTTCAATGACTTTTGAGGTGGGGAAGAAATGAAAAGAAAATAATATTTACTGAACACTTACCATATATTAATCATTTAGAAATATATTTATATAATTAATGTATAATATAATATATAAATATATTTATATAATTTTTAAAACAACTGCATAAAATGTGTTTTTAGTACCATATTTCACTATTTTTTCTAAGCATGCCACTCCCCACATAGTACAAACAACTTTTACAGAAGTTCAAAGTAACATATCTTTAATATGCAAAGGCAAGAGAAACTTCAGAAACATTTCAAATTACAAAATCTAGCAATTTTAGTGCTTGCCAACCCTCTTAATTTTATAGAGGCCAATGCTGGAGCTCAGGTCAGTTATGTGATTTTATTCATTGTCAAACATAAATTAGCGTTGGGTTAAATACAGTCTTGTTTTGTTTAGTTTAGTCTTTAGGACAGTTCTTACCTGCAAATATACTTGAGGAGGTTGTAATTGACCACTGGCAAACTCTTCACCTGCTTTGCTAATTCCTTAACACCCTGAGTACAAAGAAGAGAATAAATGTTATCATTCTATGTGTTGGCCTTTGAATTAAAGCAAGTGGGAAATGGCCATATAGTTTCCCTCCCCCGGCCACTATCTCCACAAGTACTATTTGTGAAGAAATAGATTTAGTGAAGCCCTTTTAACATTTTTAGCCTTTGTTCACAATCCACTGAAAAAGAAAGATAGCCTCATTTAGTATAATGTTATTTGAAAAAAAAAATCATCTTTAATGTGTGAAGGTCCTTCCCATGTTTAGCATGCTTAGAACATAGACAAACACATGCCTCTTGATAAATAAGTCTCCCAGGACTGCTTATGTCTAAAATATATCATTTGGGGTGAGCGGAGAGGTGAAAAGCCTGATCTTCCTGGAAATTTCACAGGGGATTAATTTCTTTGGTTCTTCTCATTGTAAAACTTTCTCTAAAATGTAAATGGTCCCCCCAACAGCCAATGGATATTGCAATCTGATTTCTTCTCCTTGTGAAGGGCTGGATAGTAAATATTTTAGGATTTATGGGACATATGATCTCTGTATCAACTACTCAACTCTTCTGTTCTAGCATAAAAGCAGCCACAGATAATATCATATAACAAATGGAATAAAAGTCCATTTGCAAAACATGGACTTTACCACAAGGGTGCTGAGACAATCCAAGAGGAGAAAAAATAGTCTTTTCAACAAAGGGTTTTGGGACTACTGGATATTCATAAAGAAAAAAATGAAGCTGGAACCTTTCTTCATACCATAGACAAAAATGAACTCAAAATGAACGATAAAACTATAAAAGTCTTAGAAGGAAATATAGTAGTAAATCTGTGGGACCTTGTGTGAACAAAGGTTTTTTAGATATGACACAAAAAACACAAGGGACAAAATAAATAATAAATATAAAAGATATTAGACTTCACTGAAATTTAAAACATTTGTGCTTCAAAGGAAACCATCAAGAAAATAAAGAGACAACCCAGAGAATGGGAGAAAATATTTGCAAATCATATATCTGATAAGGAACTTGAATCTAAACTATACAAACTCTTGCAACTCAATAATAATAAGGCAAATAACCCAATTCAAAATGCGGAAATGATCTGACTAGATATTTCTCTAAAGAAAATACACCTGATGCATCAAGAAGACATAACAATCATAAAAATGAATGCACCCAATGTTGGAGCACCCAGATTCATAAAACAAACTCTATTAGACCTAAAGAAGGA